CAGAGAATTACACCCCAAAACTACAGAATACACATTCTTCTCAAGTGCACATGGGACATTCTCAAAGATAGACCACATGATAGGACACAAACTAAATCTCTACAAGTTCAAGAAGATTGAAATCATATCAAGCATCTTCTCAGATCACAATGGCATGAAACTAGAAATCAATTGCAAGAAAAACATGCAAAGACATTTCAACACATGGAGGCTAAATAGCATGTTATTAAACAATGAATGGGTCACCGAGGAGATCAAGGACAAAATTAAAAACTTCCTGGAAACCAATGAAAATGAACACACAACAACACAAAATCTATGGGATGCAGCGAAAGCAGTTCTGAGAGGGAAGTTCATAGCACTACAGGCCTACCTCAAAAAACAAGAAAAATTTCTAATTGACTGTCTAACCTCACAACTTAAAGAATTAGAAAGCAAACAAAAAGAAAACCCCAGAGCAAGTAGAAGGAAGGAAATAGTAAAGATCAGAGCAGAAATAAATGACATAGAGACCAAAAAAACAATTCAAAGGATCAATGAAACAAAGAGCTGGTTTTTCGAAAAGATAAACAAGATTGATGGACCCTTAGCTAGACTTACCAAGAAACAAAGAGAGAGAACCCAAATACACAAAATCAGAAATGAAAGAGGAGAAGTAACAACCAACACCACGGAAATACAAAAGATCGTTAACAACTACTATGAACAACTATATGGCAACAAATTCGACAATCTAAGCGAAATGGACAAATTTCTAGAAACACACAGTCTCCCAAAACTATCCCCGGAAGAGATAGAATTTGAACAGACCAATAACAACTAAGGAAATTGAAGAGGTAATCAAGACTCTCCCAGCAAACAAAAGCCCAGGCCCAGATGGTTTCACGGGGGAGTTTTACCGAACATTCAAAAAAGAACTAACACCCATTCTCCTCAAACTATTTCAAAAAATTCAAGAAGAAGGAAGACTTCCAAACACGTTCTATGAGGCCAGCATAATTCTAATTCCAAAACCAGAAAAAGACACTACCAAGAAAGAAAACTACAGGCCAATATCCCTGATGAACATAGACGCCAAAATCCTGAACAAAATATTAGCAAATCGGATCCAGAAATACATCAAAAAAAATTATTCACCATGACCAAGTGGGATTCATTCCAGGGATGCAAGGCTGGTACAATATTCGCAAATCAATAAACGTGATACACCACATAATCAAAATGAAGAATAAAAACCACATGATCATATCAATAGATGCTGAAAAAGCATTCGACAAAATCCAGCATCCATTTCTGATAAAAATGCTCAGCAATGTAGGAATAGAGGGATCATATCTCGACATAATAAAGGCCATATATGAAACACCTATAGCCAACATCATACTCAATGGACAGAAACTAAAAACATTTCCATTAAGAACAGGAACAAGACAGGGATGTCCACTTTCGCCACTCTTATTTAACATTGTACTGGAAGTCTTAGCCACAGCAATCAGACATGAAGAAAAAATAAAAGGGATCCAAATTGGAAAGGAGGAAGTGAAACTGTCATTATTTGCAGATGACATGATATTGTACAGAGAAAACCCTAAAGACGCCATCAAAAATCTATTAGACTTAATAAATAAATTTGGCAAAGTAGCAGGATACAAAATTAACGTCAAGAAATCGACGGCATTCTTGTACATCAATGATGAACTCACAGAAAGAGAAACTGAAAAAACAATCCCATTTACCATTGCTCCAAAAAAATTACGATACCTAGGAATAAACTTAACCAAAGAAGTAAAGGACCTATTTGCAGAAAACTATAGGTCATTGAAAAAAGAAATAGAGGAAGATATAAAAAAGTGGAAGCACATACCCTGTTCATGGATTATAAGAATTAACATAATTAAAATGTCCATACTACCCAAAGCAATCTATAGATTCAATGCAATCCCCATCAAAATACCAACGACATACTTCACAGAACTAGAACAAATACTTCAAAAGTTCATATGGAACCCAAAAAGACCCTGAATAGCCACAACAATCTTGGAAAAGAAGAACACAGTTGGAGGGATCACATTACCAAATTTCAGGTTATACTACAAAGCGACTGTAACCAAAACAGCCTGGTACTGGCACAAGCACAGGCATATAGACCAGTAGAACAGAACAGACAACCCAGAAATGGACCCAAGGCAATACGCTCAATTAATATTTGACAAAGGTGGCAAGAGCATACAGTGGAGTAAAGACAGCCTCTTTAATAAATGGTGTTGGGAAAATTGGACAGCTACATGCAAAAAAATGAAACTAGACCATCAATTTACACCATACACAAAAATAAACTCGAAATGGATAAAAGACTTAAATGTGACCCGTGAATCCATAAAAATTCTAGAAGAAAATGTAGGCAACAAAATTTCGGACATCATACACAGCAGAATTTTCACTGATACATCACCTAAGGCAACAGAAGCAAAAGAGAAAACGAACACATGGGACTACCTCAAACTCAAAAGCTTCTGCACAGCAAAAGAAACAATCATCATAATGAAAAGGCAACCCACTGTATGGGAGAACATCATTGCCAATGATATGTCAGATAAGGATTAATTTCCAATATATAGAGAGTGCTCATACAACTCAACAAAAGGAAAACAAAGAACCCAATTGAAAAATGGGCAGAGGAGCTGAATAGACACCTCTCCAAACAGGACATACAAATGGCTAAGAGACATATGAAGAAATGTTCAACATCACTAATCATCAGAGAGATGCAAATTAAAACAACAATGAGGTATCACCTCACACCTGTCAGAATGGCCGCCATCAACAAGTCATCAAACAACAAGTGTTGGCGAGGGTGTGGAGAAAAGGGGACTCTAATACACTGCTGGTGGGAATGCAGACTGGTGCAGCCGCTATGGAAAACAATATGGTGCTACCTCAAAAAATTAAAAATTGAACTTCCATTTGACCCAGTGATCCCACTTGTAAGAATATACCCTAAGAAGCCTGAAACACCAATCAGAAAGAGCAGCACTATTTACAATAGCTAAGACCTGGAAACAGCCCAAATGTCCACCAGTAGATGAATGGATAAAAAAGCAGTGGTACATATATACACAATGGAGTACTATGCAGCTATAAGAAAGAAAGATCTCTTATCCTTTGAGACAACATGTAGGGACCTGGAAAGTATTATCCTTAGAGAAACAAGCCAAACAGAGAAAGACAAGTATCATATGATCTTACTTATTTGTGGAATATAATGAACATAACAGTCTGAGGAATGGAGTAGTCCCAGAGACGTGGAAGTGGGGTTTAGACTGACAATCCCCAGAAGAAGGGGGGGTAGGGGAGAGATAAACCACAGAACTTATATGCACATATGTATGAACAATGAACATGGACATCAAATTAGGGGACAGGGTGGGGAGGGCGGAGGAGGGGGAAATCAGTGGGGGGAAAAGGAGAAACATCTGTAACAAAAATAAATATATTATTTAATAAAAATAATAAAATAAAATAAATACCCTGTTAAATTAGAACCGTTATTTTACCCCTTCCTTCTTTCTTCAGAAAAATCAAATCCATTTTGCGTGTTTCTGTCCCTAAATCTCGTATTTTATAAGTATGTTCATCTCACACCAACATACAAGCTCACCCATTTAAGTAAACATGCTTAATATTGAATCCTGAGTTCTAGGGATTGTGTTCTCCCACCCCACTTCTCATATCACAACACATTAATTCTTTTGATTTAGCTGGGAAATGTAAAAGCAGTAAATGACCCCCCAATGACTTGAAAACAAAAAGTTAATGAAGGTTCTCTTTGTGTTTATTCAGTCTATAGCTCTTGATTTCATCTGTTCGTGCTAAAATATAGGGGGGAAAAATCAGCCTAATTTTTACTTTGCATAATAAATAGCAACACAAAGATTCCTTTTCCACCAAAGTCATTTAAAAAATTATACAAACATGTGGATATTTAAGGCTGTAGTTTATCTACCAAGAACATCTTGCTTTGTGGGACACAGCATTTTCAATAGAACCCCTGATTTCATTCTTGACATCATCACCCAAAGTCACTTGGACTCAATTACACCTAAATGATTGTTTCAGTCCCAGATCCATACAAGTGCCACCATAATATTCTCTGAATTTCCACCCAAAATCATAAGGTGGAAATGGGAAAAGGGGCTGAGAGTACATATTTCTTTTTCTTCCTTTCCTAATAGTCACTTTTGTCAATAAAATATATACTGAGATTTAATGTGCAGAGGAGGCAGAATATGGGTTTATATTTTTCTACAGGTTGATGAGGACATATACTGTTGTTCAAGACATTGCCCACATATATGTCTGGAACCCAAGATATGATCAGAATCACTTTGTATTTGAACTTGGTAGAATAAATGTTTTACTTGATTCACTTTAACCAAGAAGCACATTTTTAAGATGTTGGGAGTTTTTAGAACAAATTGTCTCTCATATTTTATTTTAGTCTTATTCTTGAAATTTATTTGACTTTAGTCTGATGACTAAAACACCACATTTACATCATATATGCAGGGTTTTCCATTTGATTGTTTATTTTTTGAAAAACAAAACAAAAAAGAACAAACATAGCCTGATAAAAATACATTAAGTTAGTGCTAATTATAACAGCTGAAGGAGACATTTGGATGCTGAAGTCTTGTGTTTTTAAAAATTACAAATGAAATAAGTTCTTATCCATCCAAATGACTACCCTCTTGAATGAACAAATAGATTGTAACTCATTCTAGAACTTACATTTATTTTAAATTATAATAATCAGGAAATGTCTTGTTGTACTCTATACTGTTGTATCTTTGTGTCTGTATGAGTAAAACCATTTTTGAAAGAAAACATTATATTGTTGCCATATAAGCCCACTTTATTGACAGCCCACTGACTTCATTATATATGTGTTCTCAATTATTTTTTATCTTGGCTGAAAATAAATGCTCAATGTTTCTTTCCAGAACCTATTAAAGGGAAAGAAGTGAAGTTGCCAGCTTCCCTAAAGGAAAAAGGTAATATCGTACAATGAAATGTGAAAACACATTGATCTGCCCGTTGAATATTCAGTTACTTACAACAAAGTAATATATCATTTCTTTTTAATGTTCTCAAACTTTCATATGCCCTTGTATATTTTTGAACAAAGGAAAAAGAGACTTCCTTCCTATCCTAAAATTCTAAACTGTACTATGAAACAACAAAGGAGAGAGTAACTATGTGAGAAATATTCAGAAAGCTTTTAAAAATGCATATGCTATTCTGATTTCATCAGTCTGTGGTGGGAAATCAACATTTTATAACCCCAAGGTGAATCGTATTAAGAATAGCCATGGAAATGGAAGATTTACGATAAAAAGTAATACTTACAGTTTCTCGGTGATATCTTGCCATTTTTTAAGTTCAAATACAATCAAATCATAAACAAATTTTATATGTAAGAGAAAGAGATAAACTGTAGTCCATTACCCCCTCCTTATAAATAAATGAAATGAATAGTAAAGAAACTTTCAAAGTTATGGTAATTTCCAGCAGAGACAACATTAGAACTCTGATCTAAATCAAGAACTGTACTCTTGTCCTTACATCCGACTGCATTTCCTGCCTCCCCAGTATATCACGCTCAGAGTAGTGTGGATCCTGATATGCCATACCTCAAGTCATGTCCCCTAAAACATAAGTAAATATGCGAAATTCAATGGAATACATTTAGTTTCTAGTTAATCCCAGTACATTCTATGGGCATAGTATCATACTCAGAATTGTCTAATATCTTTTTGTCAAAATGAACATATTTGTGAACCATGAAACCATACAATATGTCTACCACAATGAATATTAGAAATAGAGCCTGTTTCTACATTTACCCTGAAGAGAAGATGTGTATAAACTACTGACCAATCATTGCTTGGCAAACCTGGCCAGGAGCTTCCCGGACCAAATGTGAAATTGGCCCTCTCTAACTGGAGGGCAGGGGAGACCGAACTAAGGCAGACTACTCCAGATTAGTAGGTAGCAGGCTTAATAAACAAGAGAATTTACTTAAAGGGTTTGTCTTGGCTGGCCACAAAATGAATAGATGTCCTCACTAACCTGCCAAAATATTAGAATTTTATAGAGAGGTGTTAACTAGGTTCAGTCATGTACACAAGAAACCTCAACTGGGTTCCATCACATACACAGCAGACCTTCACAGGCTTTCATCATGGACCCAGTCCAGATCATCTCATCAGCACATTACTATCTCCAGGCTGTGTCCATGGGCAGCTTCTGGTTGGGGGAGGGTAAGTGGGGCATAAACTCCACCTCTCAGGAGGGAGAACGGGGAACTTCCAGGTGTCCTGGTGGAGCTCAAGGGTTAAACTGGCAGTAACACCTTGACTTTTCCCATCACCAATGTCCAGGGACTTGGTGGTAAAAACTCCAACTTACCGGTATTATTTCATTAGACTTCTGGTAAATTTGCATAAACAAGCTGATGCTGTGAGAGACATAAGAGAACAGTGGAAAGAGAAAGCTGACAGGGAATCAGTCAGAGAAATGAAGGATGCGTGGAGAGTCCCCATTAGTTCATGTAGCAATGTGTAAAACCATACCCTGAAGCCATATTTTCCTAACTTTGCAATTAATTTTAAGTTAAACAAAACTGTCACATACTGAGACACGAGCACAAAAAGAATTTTTTGCTCAGCCCACATACGTGCTTGAAATTTTAGAAAGCAACTGGACTCTAAACATATTAAAAGATTTATATTTTATTTTAGAAATGTATTATCATATCTAAAACTTTATTTTTACAACCATCAGTGATAGTAGTTATTTCGGTGCTATGGGCAATTTTCTATTTTTCTGGCATAACATGTAAATTAGGATATTTTGCCTTACAAAAGGATTATTACATGTTGTGTTAAATGTCCAATAGGCAGAGAAATGTTGCTATATTATTCAAGGAATTAATTAATGATGAAGACTAAAATTAATTTATTTTGAAGAAACTCTAAATTACTTTAATAGGATCTAATTGTTGATTGGAATGGATGTAAATGTTGCTATATTATTCAAAGAATTAATTAATGGTGAAGACCAAACATTAATTTATTTTGAAGAAACTCTAAATTACTTTAATAGGATCTAATTGTTGATGGGAATGGATGTTTACCTAACAATCTAAATTGTAATAATTTGATGGCATTAAGTAATTAATACACTATGATGTTATAATTCTTTTGCCAATGTAAGACAGAAATATAGAAAAAAGGAACAAATGGGAATATTATAAATATCCACATTTTTCATTAAGAAAGTTCAGTTAAAAATATTTTTCCTAGAATAAATGCATGTAGACTACATAGATAAATGAAAAACAATTCAAGTTTTCATGAAAAACACTTAGTGTTCATTATAGTCTTTGATCACTAAAAATATCCTCTCTCTTCTTTTATCATTCTGTCATTGCACATCAGATGGTGAGCCTAGCATCAGCCAGTTCATGGTCACAAATAATGGTGGTGGGGAAGGCAGCACTTTGAAAAAGATGCATTTTTAAAAGTTATATTCTAACCCAGCTGGTGTGGCTCAGTGGATTAAGTGTCATCTCATGAACTGAGAGGTGCCAGTTTGATTCTCAGTCAGGGCACATGCATGAGTTGTGGGCTTGATCCGCACTGGGGTGGGGGAGGGATGCAGGAAGCAGTCGATCGATGTTTCTCTCTCATGTCGATGTTTCTCTCTCTCTCTAAAAAATAAATAAAAACTTATTTTATAGAAAGTTATATTCTATTTCACTATTAAAGAATTTTTACATTATTGTGCTATTCTCTACCTAATTTTTAATGAGAAATATTTGTAGACAAGAGTTTGCATAAAATTTCAATTAAATGCAATAACCAGACCTTTTATTTTTAATGTTGTTCTATAATTTCTTTTGAAATCGAGACTTCTAATTACTGCATGAAAATATTTAATGTGTTTTTTTTATTTTACTATTTAAAGTGATGATGATCTCTCTTAGTCATGTGCCTTGAAATTACATTAATTGAATCTCATCATTTTTCCCCACAAACAAACAACTCAAATTCAGGTCTGTGTTACTGAATGAGAATTACAGTACTTGGGTATTCCGACAAAAAGGTGTAATAATAATATGCAAAGTGACTTTCCTTTCGCCTTTCACAGATATTGTCACATTAGGCCTTCTTTTCTTCAAGAGAGTCAGTATCATATTATATACATCAGAACAGTCACAGTACAAACAGATCCTTACTAAAAGAGAAATAAATTTTCAAAGAAATGTTGTTATGTTAAAGTAAATAGATTCTTAAAAGGCTTCAATGTTAGTCCACTAAAAAGTATCAGATGTAGCCCTGGCCGGTTTGGCTCAGCGGTTAGAGCGTCGGCCTGCGGTCCAGAGAGACCCGGGTTTGGTTCCCACTAAGGTGCCTCGGTTGCGGTTTGTCCCCGGCCCTTGTTGGTTGTGTGGGTGGCAGCCACTCGATGTGTCCCTTTCACATCAATGTTTCTCTCTCTCTCCCTCCCACTCTATCTGAACAAAAAATGGAAAAATGTCCTCCGGTGAGGATTAAAAAATATATATATATATCAGATATAATAATATCATGCACACTTAAAAGGAAAAATTCACAAATATGTACAATTTAAACAGCATGCTCTTGGAAAACAACAGCAACAGTGTATCAGAGAAGAAATAAAAAGGGAAGTTAGAAAATATTTTTTAAAAAATTAAAATAAAAACATATACCAAAATATGGAGTGCAGCAAAGCAATATATAGAGTTTATAGCAACAAACACCTATATTAGAAAAGAAGAAAGATTTCCAATGAACAATCCAACTTCAGACTTGAAGAAGCTAGATAAAGGGCAAATTAAGCCCAAAGTCAGTGGAATGAAGGAAATAATAAAGATTAGAGCAAAAATAAAGAAAATAGAGAATAGAAAAATGTACGAAATTAAAAGTTGGGATTTTTTTAGAGATAAACAAAATGGACAAACCTTTCTTTAAATTAAGCAAAAGAGTGAAGCGTTAAATAAATAAAATTATAATTGAAAGAGGAGACCTTAAAACTAATGCCACAGAAATAAATAGAATCATAAGAGACTATTAAGGAGCAGTTATATGCCACATATTTGATAAGCTAGAAGGAACAGATAAATTCCTAGATACAACTACTGAGAAGAATAATGAAGAAATACAAAATATGAACAGATCAGTAGTGAGTAAGGAGACTGATTCCATAATCAAAAGCCTCGCAACAAAGAAAAGCTCAGGACTAGATGGCTTCACTGATGAATTCTACCAAACATTTAGAGTTAATGTCAATTCTTCTCAAATTCTCCCCCCAAAAATTGAAAATTAGGGAACACTTCCAAACTCATTTTATGAGGCCATCCTTACCCTGATACCAAAACCATGCAGACACTAATAGAAAAAAAACACAGACCAATTTTCCTGATGAACACAGATGCAAAGCCTCAACAAAGCAGTAGTTAACTACACTCATTGTAAAGGAGATTGTTACTAGAAGGGAAAGGGTGGGAGAAAAAGTGGGAAGGGAAAGGGAAATAGAGTCAATAATATTGTGCTGACGTTATGTGGTGTCAGATGATTAGTAGAATTAGTAGGGTGATCACATTGTAAGGTATAAAAATGTTGAATCACCGTGTTGTACACCTGAAACTAATATAACCAATATAAGATTGTATACCAAATGTATTTAGATTAAAAAATGAATTTAAAAACAAAACAGTAGTTTACTGAATTTAACAGCATTTAAAAATGATCATCAGAATGATCAAGTGGCTTTTATCCCTGGGGGAATGCAAAGATGGTTTCACATGAAAATCAAGCTATGTGATATGCCACATTAACAAAAGGAAAGATAAAAATCAGATATAGATAAAAATATCAAAAGATACAGAAAAAGCATTGACAAAATTCACCACTCTTTCATGATTAAAAACTCTCAACAAACTATTAATAAAAATTTATCTCAACAT